GATGGCCGAGACTGACGTCGCGTCGCTCCACGCTCGGCTCCACGCTCGGCTCCACGCTCGGCGGCTCGGGTCGCGCCATTCGGGCCTCGGGTCGCGCCCCGAACACGCCCGGTCGTTCAGCCGCCGAATAGCGCAGCCATGCGCCGCGCGCAGCTCCCTGATTCGAATTGAAAAGGGCGCTGTTATGACGCCTAGCTTTACGAGCGAGGCCTTGCCTTGTGCACCTGTGTGTGTGTGCGTGTGTGCGTGCGTGTGCGCGTGTGCGTGCGTGTTTGTGTGTGTTTGTATTTGTCCTGGACCTGTTTGCCTGGGTAAATAGGCCCGGTGTGGCGCGTTTGTAGCGGAAGTATTATTGTCGCGGGGCTTGGCCAGGCTTGGCGCTGCTCCGCTGCCCGGCCGCTCGGCGCGCGAGGAGGCCGCCGAGGCCCTGTCCCTGGCCGCCGGCTGTCCGTCCCTTCCTGGCTTGCCGGCCAACAGGGCCGCGCTTCCGGCTCGCTGACGGCCGGCACCGAAATCAGGGTGGCGTGTGACGTGTGCAGCCCGTGCAGCGCGTCGCAGAGTCCCAACTCGCGCTGGAGTCCGGCGACGGCCGCCGCCTCGCCCTGCCGCGCACCGAATGCGCTTAATAATAGCACCTGGCACCTTGATTTCTTGCCGAGCCGTCGGGGCGGGGCGGGGCGGGGCGGGGCGGGGCGCCGAGGAGGAAACCCCTTCGGACTGCAACTCGTCTGATAAACGCTGCAAACATACGGATAACAGTACTCACTCATCCTGCATAAATCACTTTGGCGCGGACGGCGGGCGATCCTTGGCGATCGGCGTGGCGGGGCGGGGCGGGCGGCGGCGGCGCGGCGCGGGGGCGCGGGGCGCGGACCGATCCGCCACATCATCTTCTGGGAACGGGTATCATCCCGTCCCGCCTCCCGTCCCGCGGGACGTCCCGGAGTCCCCGCCAGGATTGGCGCGCGGATCCTGTCCGCGCCTCGCCTCGCCTCACCCCGCCAGGCACGACCGTCGTGTGTGTGTGTGTGTGTGTGTGTGTGTGTGTGTGTGTGTCATACGTGAAGTCGTTGACCAAACGTGTGCACGTCCCCGCGTCAAAACGGAGTGGAAGCACGTGTGTGCGTGCGTTTGTGTGTGTATGTTTGTGTGTGTGGTTGTGACGACAGGTAAAACTGGGGCAGCTCAGAATAAACGCGCGCGCCACGCGGCCTGGCCGTATAGCATCCCGGGCGTGGCGCGGCGCGGCGGTCGCGTCGCGGAGGGTTGGCGCGTCGTCGTCGCCTGCACGCTGGTCGTCCGTCACACCGGTAGCCGTCGCAGCCGTCCCGGCCGTGCCGTCCCGGCCGTGCCGTCCGCCGGCTGGGGTATTCTGATGCCACGTCGCGATGTCGGTTCTTCGCCGTCTTCCGTCTTCGCCTCGGTCTTCGCCCACCTGCACTGCTTGGGGCGGCCCAGGCCCGGTGACGCGCCGGGTCGTCATGATGTAGATGTGGGGTAACTGTTAGCCGCGTCAAACTGGAACCCGTTCCCGTCCAACTAGTCCGCGCGGCGGGCCGGTGCGCCGCGGTGCGCGATGCGCGATTAGCCGCCACCAAGGCCGTGAGGCACTCCGCGTCGACTTCGTGTCGACTTCATGTCCACGCCTGGCACGTACCGCACGCTCCGCACGACGCACCGGAGGCCGCGGGCACCGCCAGGGCACCGGAAAGGGCCCGGTTCCGGCTCGAGGCAGCGGACGGCCAGGCGGTCAGGGCACCGCCAGGGCACCGCCAGGGCACCGGAAAGGGCCCGGTTCCGGCTCGAGGCAGCGGACGGCCAGGCGGTCAGGGCACCGGTCAGGGCACCGCCAGGGCACCGGAAAGGGCCCGGTTCCGGCTCGAGGCAGCGGACGGCCAGGCGGTCAGGGCACCGCCAGGGCACCGCCAGGGCACCGGAAAGGGCCCGGTTCCGGCTCGAGGCAGCGGACGGCCAGGCGGTCAGGGCACCGTCAGGGCAGCCAGGGCAGCCAGGGCACCGGGACATCCCGAAATGAGCGGCAAGCGCCAGGGCCGTAATCCGGCGGGCGCGGCACGGGCACGCGACGCAAGCGCCAGGGGCCGAACCGCGGCCGGCAGGGCGCGCGGGCAACCCGCGGGGACCGGGGAGGGACCGCGGACCGGAGGCGCTGCGGGTCGACGCTGCAGGGACGCTGCAGGGACGCTGCAGGGACGCTGCAGGGACGCTGCAGGGCGCTGCAGGGACGAGGCCCCCGAGTGCGGAAATAGCTTGGCGCGGCTTGGCGCGACCCTCCCACACGCAGCAGGCGCGGCGGCGCACCGCTCGGCCTCAAGCCGCGAGGCACAAAGGCATAATGGAACGAGTGGCTGCAGTCTTAGCGAAGTGAGTGGGGCGAAGCGGGGCGGGGCGGGGCGGGGCGCCATCGGGAGGGCCGCGGGGACAGCTCAGCGGGCCGCAAATAAAGCCCGACCAGGGAAGCCGGGGGTTTCCGAAACCAAGCTGACGCGGCGCCCCCGCCGCCCAAGGAGTGCCCTGTTTCTGCGCCGCCGCCTCTTTGGCCGCCGAGTCGCCGACGGCAGCCGATCGGCGAACGCGTGATGAACGGACGTCGCGGACGGACAGCTCGACCCGCGGCCGCCGCCACGGCGTGCTCCGGGGCCGCGCGCACGCTCACACGCAGTGCCGGCAGCGCCCCCGGCCACGCGGAGCGGAGATCGTGACCGTATTGTTTTGACTAGCGGCCGACGAATAACATTTTGAGAGCAAATATCATCCGGCCCCGCCGCTCCGCCGCGACAGGCCGGCCGGCCCGTCCGTCCCGGACCGCTGACCCGCTGATCTTTGCGTGCAGCGGCGCGCGGGCTCGTGAGGTGTGAAACTGAAATGTGCGTTTCCTGGGGCTGTGCCCCGCGCCGGCCCGCCACTCCACGCCCGGCCACGCCCCGCCACGCCCCGCCACGCCCCGCCTTGCCGGCAGCAAGCGGCTTGGTGCCCACCTCCTCACCTCACCATTAATTTAGCGTCATTCATTGTGATGGATCGCGGCTCCAGCCCCGCGGCCGCAGTGCCCGCCCTGCGCCGCGCCGCGCCGCCGCGCCCGTCCCTCGCGGGGATTTAAACGCCCCGCACTGTTTGATGATCCACCACTGTTATCAAGTCCGTTCCGTATCGCAACCGTCGGCACGAGTCATGGAGCGAACTCTCGAGGCGTAAGTCGCCTTTCTCCGAGCATCAAACTTATAATAGGGACTCGAACGCTGCAATTTTTGCCAACTTTTGACGGCTTCTAGCGGTCAAAGCCCTCCCGCGACTTGGCGTTACTTTTAACACCCTGCTCTTTTATGCCCCGCCTTGGCAGCGCCTTGACCGCACAAGGTAGGGAAGCACCGACCAAACTGTCGGCAAAACTTTGAAATTTTGCAGAGTTTTTGTGCCGTGCTCCAGGCCACGGGTTCAATACCTCCTGCTTCCTCTTTCCTCGTCCCCATTTTATTCGAACGGATCTTCCCGGGCTGCGCCGTCGTCCCGGTGTCCCGCAGTGCCGGCCCGATCGCGGCGACGCGGCAAGCCGCATTGCTGGTCCTGCTGGTCCGGACGAGCGCCGCGCCGAGGACGTGACGCGGCGCCGCGCAGCGCAGCGCGCATGCCCTGGCCTAGAGTCCTAGGACTTGGTTTCTCTAGCCTACAGTCCGAGGACTTGGTTTCTCTAGCCTAGCTAGACTTGGTTACTTACAGCCTAGGACTTGTGTCTGTCAGAGTCCTAGGACTTGCTTACTCTAGTCCTGGGAGGACCCGGGTTCCCGGTCTAGGTTTGTTACTCTAGCCTTTGGTAGGACTGGTTACCTAGCCTAGGTCCCTAGGACTTAAGTTACTGCCTGGAGCTAGAACTTGAGCTAAGCCTAGAAAATAGGACTTGGTTACTCTAGCCTGGAGTTCAAGGACTTGGCGTTACTCTAGCTAGACTGTCCAAGAGTCCTAGGACTTGGTTACTCTAGCCTGGTTCAAGCTGGGCCAGGTCCCAGCTGGGTACTCTAGCCTGGAGTTCAAGGACTTGGTTACTGTGGCCAAGAGTCCTAGGACTTGGTTACTCTAGCCTGGAGTCCTAGAACTTGGTTCCTCCAGCCTAGAGTCCTAGGACTTGGTTGCTCTAGCGAAGAGGCCTAGAGACCCCCACTTTGCACACTGGTCGTGACGCTGATGTCCTGCTGCACCGCCCCGAAGACGCACCTGAGGACGGCGCCGAGGTCAGCTCCCGCAAGCAGGCTGATTCCGCACTCTGCTTTCGTCGCTCTATCTCTCTCCCTCGCGCCAGCGGCGTAGCCGCGTGAATGCGAGAGAGACGCCGAGCGACGAGAGCAGTGATGTTCGGAATGGCGGTGCCGGGCGGTGCAGGACTGCAGGCCGCCGTTTCTGCTCTACATCCTCGGGATAAAGGACGCGCCGGCCGCTCCCACACCGCCAAGCGTTCGGACGACGGCGAGCCCGCCGAGTGGGCGGGGCAGGCGTCGAGGGAAAGGCGTCGGGATGACTCCACGCAGCGCGGGACGCAGACGACCCAGACGACCTGGACGCCGCCGCGGCAGCCGAATGACCGCCAAAATCCTGGACTATAGTTGCGCAGGACAGCGGTACCGGCACTGTGAAAGTCGTCAAGCTTTGGTTTTTTGCCGTTGTTTTTTTTTTTTGGCTGCCGGCCGCAGGGCACGGCGGTATGGCTCGGCTGAACTGGGACTGATGCGTGGGACGGAGTCGAGTCGAGACGACGGAGTGCGTCTAGTCTTAGTCGTCCGAGCGCCGCGCCGCGCAGGCCGCCCTATTTTCTCACACCTCTTCCTCCTGCGTCCGAATGGCAGTCCGCCAAGAGGGCCGCCGTTTGTGAATGTGTGAATATGCGTCTCTGTGTGTGTGTGTGTGTGTGTGTGTGTCTGTGAGTGTGTCTGTCTGCGCGTGCGTGAGCATCAGAGCGGTCCCTTTGACACGGCCCGTCCTGCGTGTTGCAGCTGGACGATGCCGCCCTGCAGCTCTACAAGGATGGCGACTTCGGCCCGTACCTGGACCTGGACGCGTCCATCGCCGAGCAGCAGGAGGACTTCGAGGACTTCCACGCCAAGTGAGTTGTTATCCTGGCAGCGCTCGCCTTCCGCTTCCTCGCGAAGATTGTCGCTGCCGCGGACGCGAGGCGTGGCGAGACGCGGCGTGCTGCAGCGAGTCCGTTTTCGTCGCTCTGTCTCTCTCGCGCCGAGACGGCACGCCCCATGAGTGCGAGAGAGACAGAGCGACGAAAATGGACTCTCGGAATCGGTGTGCAGCCTGTGGCAAAGCGCGGCCCCCATTCCTGGATCGTGGCCCCGGAGCGTGCCAGCTCTAGCGCCAGCTCTAGCGCCAGCATGCCGGAGCGCCGGAGCCCCGGAGTGAACCGGGGGGCGGCCGGGCCGGGGCGGCCGAGAGCTTTTCCGGAGCGGAGCGAGCGGAGCGCATGCTGAGAGCCCGGCGAGGAGCCCGGCCCAGCGCGGATTCCGCCCGCCCGGCCGAGTCTTTCTGGAGCGTGCTGGAGGCTCGGCCTCTCTGCCTCGACCCGGCCGGTCACTCGACCTGGCCGCGGAGCCTTGCGCGGAGCAGCACTCAGTCGGGAACAAAATGCGCTGCAAGCGATCCCAATTTATTTTGTTGGAGAAAGGAGTGGCGGGGCAGGGCGGCCAGGGTCGGGTCACGTAGCTGCTCAGTCGCTCTGTCTGCCGAGGCGGCGAGGCGACGGCGTGGCGGCCGATGGGGTCCGGACGCTGGCGCCTGGCTGCGCCTGCCCGGCCCTTTCCCCCGCGGGGTGGCCGCCGTGGCCGCCGTGGCCGCCGTGGCCGGGCAAACTCGGCGCTGCCCCGAGGACGTCGCCGAGGGCCTGCTGGCCGTGGACGCGGGGCGCGGACCGTCATGTCGCGGACCTGCCGCGGAGAAAGCAGTGCGGGTGGCGTGCGCCCCGCGCGCTGCGCGCTCACTGTAAACACGGGTAAAGACCGGCGGGCCGAGCGCTGTCGAAGGGATCTCGTCGCTCCGTCTCTCTCGCACCCCCACGGGACGCCCCATGAGTGCGACAGAGACGGAGCGACGGAACGGCTCAGTCGGCCGCAGAGCGCGGTACGGCGCGGGCGATGACGGGGCAGCAAACTCCGAGTCAAGTGCCGCGCGGCCGCCTCGCCGGCGAAGTCGCGGAGGCCCTGGAGGCCCTGCAGGTGGAGGAAGTCAGTCGTCTGCAGCGCGCAGCACTCATTTGGCATTTCGCGGAAATACCACGCAAGGGCACGCCCGGGCACAAGGCGGAAGGTGGGGCCGAGCGTTGCGCTGCCTTGGACTTTATCTCTCCAATTTACCACTTTCAACATTATATCAAGTCAGACCCGTGAAAAAATCTTGTAAACAACCAAAAATTAACCACGTAGGCGACATGATGAGTACACAGGTGATCTTCATGCCCGAGCCTTGGGTTCTCTGGGCTCGCGATCGGCCGCGTGGCCGCGTCCGCCCGGGTTCGCCTCGCCTCGCCTCGCCAGGACGCTCAGTGGGCCAGAAGCCGATGGAGGCGGCCAAAACTCCAGACGCGTTTTGAGCTCCAGAGTCGCTAAATGGGACTAGAGCCGAACGTGTGGCCCCACCAATGGACTGCTCTCCGAACGAGCAATCCATTGGTGGGGTCACACGTTCGGTTCGAGTCCCATTTAGCGACTCTGGAGCTCAAAACGCGTCCGGAGTTTCGGCCGCCTCCACCGGCTTCTGGCCCACTGTGGGACGGCGGCGTTCCGGACGCAGCGCGGCGGCGCCCCGGCCGGCGGCCAGACACGGAGGGCTCCGGTGTGCTCCGCGCTCCGCTTTCGCCGCGCGTTTTTCGACCAGGCGACGTTTGCCTCGCTAATGCTCGATGCAGTCCTCGACCTTCTCGACCTTCCCCAGGCTTTCTAGTGCCGTTTTGCCAGGGCGACGGCGTGATGCCTCCGCCAGCGTCCTGCCGCCGGCCCTGTGCTGCGGACGGGCCGCGCGTTGGTGGGTGCGCGGCGCGGCGCGGCGGTGCGTCCAGAGGCCTAGCGGCTCCGGGCGCCGCGGACCGCGCACCGCCAGGGGACTTTATTGGCGGTCTAAGTAATTGTTGCCGCATCACCGGTCCCAGCCGTGGAGGAGTAAAGCCCGCGCGGGGCGGGGCGGGGCGCGGGGCGGGGCGGGGCGGGGCGGGGCGGGGCGTTCCGCACGATGGCTGAGTCACGCAGGACTTGGCAGGACCGGACCGAGGGCCGCCAGGGCGAAGGGCTAAGTCGTCGCGGAATGACTGCGCCGTGATGACGCGGTACGCAGTGCGGCACGGCACGGCACGGCCTGGGACATTTAGCCCCATTACAATTAGGGCTTGCAGGCTGGCCGCGCCGTGCCGTGCCGTGCCGCGCCCTGCCGAGTGCCTCGCCGCGCCAGTCCTGCTGCGCCGCTGCGCCGCGCCGGCCGGCCCCATGCAGTCACGACCTCGGCTGAAACACGTCGCCGTGTTTGCGTCTCTCTCCGATTCGGAAAAGAAAAGAACGCAAATCCAGCAACGGCTGCACGGGCTGCCCGCGCTGCGCCGCGCAGGCTGTTGGAGGTATGCAGTGCAAGTGCAGATCGCGGCCGGCCAAACAATCTGCGCCGCGTAATCACGGGGTTGCGACTCGGCGCAGCGCGAAGCAGCGCGGCGGTCCGCTTCGACGACAAGTCCGTCTTTTTCCACTACTTCCTGAGTGCGCCGCCGCGGGGCCGCGGCCTGACCTGCAGTGCGTTTCGAAAGCCTCCCCCGGCGCGCTGACGCCGGCTGACGCGCTCATCACTTCCCCAGGGTCGCTTTCATTGCAATCTGCGGCTCGCTGATGGCGTCCGCCGCGTCCACGCCGTTTACAAGAGAGATCCTCTCCGGCTAACCGCCCCTCGGTGCTCTGATTGAGAGGCGGGGGCGTTTTCCCGGAGATGAAAAAAAGGCCAATCTGCATGGAGGCGTCGGGCGCGTCCGGCCGGCCGGCCTGCTGGTGGACGTCTGCCCCGAGCAGCTGTTGCCGCTATCAATATTCCGAGAGCTTTCCTCGCGCCGATGGGCCATCGGCTCGGCCATCGGCTCGGCCATCGGCGCCATCGGATCAAAGCTCTCGTTTCTCAGTTTCTCCCTTGGGCCCCCTTGGACCGGCCTGCCCTGGGCCTGCCGGCTTGCCGACCTGCCGGAGTGCCTCCGATAAGCGCGCCTGCGCGGTAAGGCTGTAAGCGGCCCGGTGCACCAAGCCGCCCAAGCCGCCACCGCCCGGTCGTGCTTTTGTCTCCGTTATTTCGAGCCTCGCAGTGTATTGGTTTGGGGGCATTAGGGCCGATAAAGGGCGCACGGCGCCGCGCGGCCCGCTGCTCAATGCAAGTGGAAGTAGACCAGTGATACTCCGTGATAATCAGGCCCGACTACATTCTTCCCTGTCCCTCGCTCTTGTTTTCTCATTCAACACGAATGCGGCCGTTCTGCCGCTGCTGTTGTTTTTCCCCGGTTGTTTTTCCTTATTGCAATGAATAGAATTGTCTGGCCGGCCGGCCGGGCCAGAGAGCCGCGCGCAGCAAATGGCGGTAGTATTTATGCAGGGGTCATGGCGGGCCGGAGACTCTAGCCGCGCGGTGCGGTGCTACGCGGTGCCCTGTCCGCCGGGTTGCCGCCAGGCACCGCCAGGTGCACAGCTGCCGCAGCTGCCGGGTATTGACTCGGCCGACCTGCCGGGCCGGGGCGGCCGGAGCGGCCGGAGAGACGCTGCGTCCTGCCGGGACTCGCCGGACTCGCTGACTCCAGCTTGCGACGTGCGGCGCGAAGGCAATGCAAAAACTCGGCCGGCGGAGCGAAAACAGAAGAAAGCTGAGTGCAAGGGTAATGCCAGGGCGTTTTTAGTTTCTAAGCGCGGAAAAGCGCGCGCGGCCGTGGCGTGCGCGCCGACGCCCCAAGGGTCAACGTCGCCGTTCCGCCGTCGAATGTCATCGCCGGCCTCGGCTGCAGAGGCTCTACTTGCAGTGGAGGGGCTCCATCGGTCCTTAGGCACGCCAGGCCTCGCGCCAGGCCGGGCATTCCGGTGTAGGGACGCTGGGGACGCGGCGGCGACGGCCGGAAACGAAGCCGTGGCGTGTCGCGCGACACTGCAACTGCATCCACCCCCGGAGTCCCGGACGACGACGGCGACGACGACGTCCCGGAGGAAGGCCCGGCGGGGAGATCTTGTCCGTTTGACGGGTTCGTTGAAGCGTGGTAGTTAGCTGTGGGAACTGTTTGCCCGGCCCAGCCTCACAATGAGCATTCCAGAGCCAGCCTGCCGCCTCGCCTGCCGCGGCCTGCAGGGACGAGACAGCAGGGCGACCCGGCCCTGCCCCGCGACCCCGCCAGTGCCGTGCCGCCGTGCCGGCCGTCGGCAGTCATTGACTCGGAAAGTCGCTCGGTCGCCAAACAGATTCGCCTTTCCACTCCAACGCTGACCTCTGTGCCTGCCCTGCTCCGCCCTGCCCTGCTCCGCCCTGCTCCTCGCACCGCCCTTTCTTTCCGGTAAACAAAAAGCGGCGAGCCGCTCGATTCACGGAAACTATTCGCCGCGTCCGACAGCCTCTCCTCTCCTCTGTCGGCGTGTCGGCCTGTCGGCCTGTCGGCGCGGTGGTCGTTGTTTTACATCCCTGAAAACGGAATGGCGCTCGTAATAAGCGCCTGGAGCCCTTTACTTTGAAATCGCAGACGGCGGCGGCCCGTCCCTTGGTTTCTTAGGCCGCGCTCGTCGCGTCGCCGTCGCGTCGCCGTCGCGGGATTTGTTGACCGTCGTCGCCGTGCCGCCGAAGCCGCCGGGTCGGGGCTCGACGAACCCTGCCGTGCCCTGCCGTGCCCTGCCGTGCCCTGCCTCGGCAGTAAAAGGCAGGCCCTCTTTGGGGCGTTAATGCATCCGCAACAATCGGCGGGCCCCGCCAGGCCCCGGCGGGGAAGGCCCCGCCACGCGGCGCTTAAACGCCTTTAATGCTTGATCGCGTCGCCCACCGCGCGTCGCCCATATCGCTACCCGACCGCCAGGACCGCCAGGCCCGCCTCGCCGGCTGCGGGGCGCCGTCGAG